GTAATATATCAAAGTCTAAGTTAGTCCTTCCTCTATTTGATGCAAGTTATTTCTCTTTAAAAGCTATACTTGTTTAGATGTTATTACGAATCAAACAGGAGTACTTTTTTTTGGGCCACCCGGTATAGTTTTATACTATAAAATTGTAAATAATCTTACACCAACTATTTATCAGCAAAGGCTTTACTTTGTATAGATCAAAGACAAAAATATTTAAAACATCATTTTTTCCTTCAGCTACGTTTTTGTGGAATAATCTTAGATGAGTTTGTTCTGCTTTCCTGGACTGTGTGCATACTAATACATTAATTTATGCAAAAATATTAGACTTTGACTGGCGAAGGTGGGGAGTCTCTGAGTCCCGCCCCCTTCCCTCTAGCCGTTTTGTTCATAAATTGGCTATCACAAAAAAACAAACATTAAGACTTAATTATAGCCTGCATGGAGTTAATATATGTGCGGTGTTTTGTAGAAACATTTCATGTCGGTTAAATAGTTGTAATAGTTTTGATTTGGGTGAACTGTACAATAAATTGTAAGGGGGTTGATTTGCCTACGTTGTTGATAATTGATTGTTTAATTTAACGCTGATTTCTGTCTATTGTGGTGTTTCGTGATTGACAATGCTCCTGGGAATTATTATTTGATTGTGTACGTAAAAGACAAAGACTTATTATAGTTTGAACGGGATTCGTATAAAATTTCATGTTCAAGTTAAAGATTGGTAGTTGTTCTGCACATCTCTCGTTTTGTTTAACTCAGTATATGTTTACTCTTCGTCATTACTTGCATTCACTCTCAACGATTGATAATTATCTTCTGTATTCATTTTTGAAAGATCAAGCCGTCTTGATAAGTTGTATCAGCTTCAGTTGTCTTTGGTTCAGGGTTTGATTGAGGTGTCGTGTTTCTCAACCATTGATAATTATCTTCTGTGTTCATTTTTGAAAGATCAAGCTCTTGATAAGTTGTATCAGCTTCAGTTGTCTTTGGTTCAGGAGTTGATTGAGGTCCTCTGTTTCTCAACGATTGATAATTATCTTCTGCGTTCATTTTTGAAAGATCAAGCTCTTGATAAGTTGTATCAACTTCATTTTCCTGTGGTTCAGGGTTTGATTGAGGTCTCCTACTTCTAAATTTACGACAAGAACATAAGAAAATGTTGGAAAGAAGTATTCCAATAATAATCCCAGACACTACTGATACCACAACGATATACCATTCAGTTCCACCGAGATTACATTCTTTTGAAGCTGCTTTTCCTGTAAATAAAAATGAGACGGACACAGTCACAGATATGGGCTTACCTATTTTCTACACAATTAGTTTATATACTTTGTTGGTGTCTCAAAAAAGTTAAACAGAAAACAAAAATTATACTTTCTATAGGTGAATTATATTCATAAGCTCGGCTTGGGCCTGGGGACGAATTATATTACGAAAAAAGAATTTTACCTGTTCCGAAATTCTTCGTAGTTGGAGAATTCGTTGTTTGTGTTACTGCGAATGAAATTATACAGTGTTAAGAGTCTGCTCTCTGATTTGCCTAGTTACATTTTAAGCTTGACTACAGTATATATTACTTATTAACAAGTGATGCAATCACAGAAATTATTGTCCCCGAGCCTCGCGCCGTTCCAGGCGTAAGCCCGGGGCGAAGGTACTAATTCCGCTCGCTATTTACACCCGGGAAAAGGAAAGCATTAGCGAAGTTTAAAATTCATCAATGATTGCGGGCGCGTCACTGTTTCATGGGTGGACCTCCCACTGATCTAAAGGTATGGCGATTTTCAGGACTGGATCAGTGGAATTGGGATTTGAAAAAAAACTTGAACGACATGTTATTTTTATATTTCTATGTAAATGTATATTTTTTATTTATGTGACAAAATGAATAAATAAATAAAATAAAATATCTAAATAAAAATAAAATAAATAATATTATTTAATGGGACAAACAGTTTATTTGTTTTTGTTTCATACGAAATATCAGATTGCTGGAAATCGCAAGGTAAGTTTGCTTTTTACACTGTCACTGACGTATTGTTCGCTTTAAAAAACTGACGTTGCGTATATGTTATGCCACATGCACAGAGTAAGTATATTATATGTATTAATGTATGTATTGTTTAATCTGTGGTGTTACCATGACAATCGCTTCAAATACTTCATGTTTGAAAAATATAGTGGTCTTGCTGGCAAAGCGAGGGGTTTATGCATGTAGGCTATGTATTTCTAGTATATGATGTTATTAATTACCTGCGACAGACAAACTGAAGGTCTTTGAACTATTTCCAAGTACACTTGTTGCAATACATTTATATGACCCAGCATCAGTGTATTCCAGAACAGTTATAATATACGTCTTGTTAGTACTAATCTCAGTACCGTTATGGATTATGGTATAACTTGGTAAAGGAATAGCTATAGCCTCACACGTTATTACGACTGATTTACCATATACGGCGTTTTCTGGAGTGGACCTAAGACTTACTACTGTAGGTGGAACTGCGCCTGTAAAAAATGTTTAAAAGACTCATTGTACTTTCTGATATTGCACTGTTGCTTTTTCTTTATTCTCAAACAGCAAAATCGACCAAATTCAAACAATTCTACTTACAGCAAACAATTATTTCAATTAATTTTTCATCCGTTAGAGTGTGGCTCTTGGCTACACATTTATATGTTCCACTGGCTGTGTTATCAACGTTACTGAGAGTTAAAGTGTGTTCTTCTTTCGCTGTTCCACCAATCTGGACGCCATCTTTATACCAAGTTACATTGGCTGGAGGGTTTCCACTTTCACCTCTACATACACATGTGAAGTCATCATCTTCAATTAGTTTGGTAGGACTGGTACAATTGACTGTCACAGTTGGTTTCTCTGAATGTAATGAAACCACATAAGAGTTTATTTTAGAAAGTCACTTTGTAGGGTGAGAGCGCAGCTCAATATAATAGTAAAACTTTTCACTGCAGATGTTCTTAATGTGAATGCCATGGAATTGGGGATAATAGAATAATTATCATTTATAGACCTGGAGCGAGCCAGCAAGGGGGGATTCGGCGAAATATTACCCGAAGTGATGATATTTCCCAAGCAGCTTTGCCCCAAGGGAAATATCATCACTGAGGGTAATATTTCGCCGAATCTCCCGAGCGGAGTGTCAATAAATGATATATTATACCGAAAATTAAAAGCCTCCAAGTCGAGAATATATAACTGGCCACATACCTTCGTAGATGCAATGTTTTATTTTCTATTAACGCAAGTATTTGTCACTTTCATTTCGAATCACATATCATTTGGAATATTGATAACATTTTTCAAAATTTGCTTCATAATTTTAAAAATAGCTGTCTTTGAATAGCTGTCGTTCTGCGCATACGTTCTGCGCAGGCCTACATTCCAATGGTCGGGACCCGACCATTGGAATGTTATTAATAATATTTCGCACCTTCCACCTCCCGAACTTTCTTGAATCGAATCTCTAATCTGTATTCATTTACAAGCGTAGCGAACCAGAAGAGTGTTAAAAATTCAGCATAATATATATCTAATCATATTTTACAACTGTTGCACTGAGTTCAAAATGTAAACAAAGCGTTTGTTTACATTACCGTCTTTACATGTCCTCAGTATATTTTGTCGGCCATCTTAAACCATTTCTCAAAGTCCTGGGTCTAGTCGCGCGAATCCCAATGTTGGAGGGACAAGAAATATGGCAGCACACATTTAAATTAATGTAAAAAAGGAGATATTTCATTTGGTCGTGTAAAAAGTTGATATTTGATAGTAGATACTTCTACTCTTTCACATATTTGACGCTTGTTACCATAAATTTTGTCCCTCCGAACGATCCCAGAATGCAATGTGATCTGTTTTGGGAAAAGGCTAAATTCACCCCGTGTGATGATTGAAATCACCCGCTATATGTCAAATACGATGAGGTAAGGCGCGATTCGATGATAAGTTCCATGCTCGCACGTGGCACAAACTTAGCTTTCTGATTGGATACTTTGAAGTTGAGGTATAATAATACACGATAGTCATACGGACGAAAAATGCACGACACAACATTGCAAATTTTCTCAACTGACACGTAGACAATATTTTAAAATTTGAAATAATAGTAAACATTTTTACATTTGTCTCAATTACTGCATGTATTTGGCCTATGCCATGGTCGTGGAAGCATAAACTCATGCTGAGGTTTTCTTCATCAAAACTTACTTGCAATAAAGACGTAAACATCAGATGCACCACCGTTAGGTGCTACAAGGCTAAACCGGTATGTCCCATCATAAGTTTGATCAACATTTTTTAAAACCAAGGTTGCTGGCTTTACTATTCCAACTCCAGATAAGCCACTTTCATATATTCTAGGCTTCTCGTCATCAATTATTCTTGGAAGTCGTTTTGCATTGATTGAACCATCACTACTTGTGAGATACCAAACCCGAGAATCCACTTTAGAAATATCACCTTTAAATAACCAAGTTATATTCGCAGTTGATCCATTTAAAAAAGTAAACCTGGTCCCATCAGGTGGCGATGTAATTTGTCCTAAACAACAAAAAAAATTCAATTTTTATCAAAAGCTTACCATATTCTATAATTCTATAATTCCGTGGTAAAAGTTTTGAAAAGAATTAAAAACAATGAAACTCATTATGTGTGAGCCAATCAGTGTTGCCATGCACAAGCACATTTTCTATGACAAGTTTTTATATGGCAATTTTTACTTGCCAAGTGTATGTGTGTACGTACAACAAATTTTTTATGACAAGTTTTTGGTTTTCTGACTTCCACGATAGCTATTATCACCCATTATAGCAATAGATCTTTGACCAACCGCATGCTCAGATTGCTTTGAAAAGTTTTCTTTGACCCATACAGACGAGCAAAATTTGCACTTTGCTAATTTTTACTGTGACAAGTACACATGTTCAAAAGCTATAGCGTGCTATAATAGCTCGAGTGTACTTGTTACAGTAAAAATGTCAAAATTGCGTATACAGACGAGCAACTATAAAACTTGCTACACTAAAAACTTGCCATAGAAAACTTGCTCGTCTGTAACCGGCTTAAAAAAAGGAATGCCCTTACCTCGGCATGGAAACAACACAAAGCTGAGACCAAACAAAATAATAAAACAAGCACCAGACATCTTATGGAAATTATACCTGTATAAAAAAACAATTAAGAAATGTTGCTTTTTCTGTGGGAACATAAGATTGTGTATCGCTCTATAGAAACCATCAACAATGGGGAGGTCCTTTCTGCAGCAGGATCTATTATAATTCTTCTCTCATTGCACCCAACCTCGCATGCAAGCTAGGCTCCCTACTTCTGCTTAATAGAGAGCCGCCATTGTGAGGTTGCTTAATAGAGAGCCGCCATTGTGAGGTTGCTTAATAGAGAGCCGCCATTGTGAGGTTGCTTAATAGAGAGCCGCCATTGTGAGGTTTCTTAATAGAGAGCCGTCATTGTGAGGTTGCTTAATAGAGAGTCGCATTGTGAGGCACCCAGAATGGCGTCAGTTAGTATAATATGACTCGAATAAAACGCGTTACAGGTTTTACAACATATATATCTTGGACATAATCTAAAATATAAATAGCGAGTATTTCATGTGCATATAGGATACAGGAAACATTAATAGCATGCAAATGTTTCGCTACTCGCGGTTTTATATAAGGAAATAAATTGAATTCCCGAACAAATTCCATTCACGATCTCAGACGCTTTGAGAAGTTTAGTGTCCGTCTTACAGGAGTAATCTAGAATCTATGCAAATGGACTAAAGTGTCGACACGTTGTAAAGGTATTATATTTTATTGAGGGATTACATTAATTTTATAGTACACAAAATCAGAGAAAGAGTAGGGAAACATGTCTGATATTATATTTGGTTCAATGTAACAAATATCCCTATAGTTACATACCTGCTTTATTAAGTATAGTATTCCTGATAGAAAACTACTTTTACAATATAGTATACCAGCTTTACTATCGTATTCTTATAAACTGACCAAAATCGAGAAGCAGAGAGGATAGATAATGCAATATTCTGGTTCTATATTTCCTTGTTTGATGTTTGCCACGATGAATTCATTCTTCCGGTTTCAAAAGCTTTGTTAAATTAAGCTATACAGGAAACTCTCTGATTCCAGGGTATTACATTGCTGGCCAAACTCTTAATGTTTGTATGTGCATGGTCATTTGATTTCACAGAACCTGCAGCTTAGTTTCTGCCTCTCACTCAAGGACAACGAAATATTACGCCAGAAATTCTGGCTGCGAAATATTTCTTATACAATTTTGGCATGGATGGTTGCACCTATTCAAATCTTTTTTATTCACTTACTCAGTTCAAATTTTCACTGTCTTAATTTCATAATGACCATGGGAGATGTGTCATGTCAGGGGTGTAACCAAATTATTTTTTCAGCGAACATTTCACATCGAGCCAGTATATCGAAACAATAATCAACCAGCACGGTTTACGCTCGTATATAACCGCATGATGATAGAGTAAAGGAATTTTCAGGCAGAGGACTTTAGACACAAGTAGTATATTGATTATAAATAATGAACAGTACTGTACTTTTCAAACTTTATAATGATTCATGTTAGGTCAACACTAAATTTTCACCATAAAATTTATATCGTGAGATGTATATATAGATGTAATTCAGTCTCTGACTATTCTTGCATGGTTAGTTGGTTTGCACCAACGAAAAAATACCATGCAATATAACAGCGATTGCCAATTTCGAGCGTGTTTTCCTGGCAACATCGCCCCCATGCATATATCTTTGCTTTGTAAATCTCAGGAGATTGATTGCAAACCACCAATATTACAAGAGACTATATTGAGCAACATATCGCACTAGGGAATTCGTCCAAATTTTGTACGGGTATAAGAGATAGATTGTCTCAACCTGCAATTAATATGCCCATGCAACATTGTAGTTATCGCGGGCTCTTGTTCAGGTTTTCTGTTTTTCAAACTTCGTTTAGGCACCGCAATTGAGGATCATGTAATGATAATGATAATGAAATTACATTTGTATAGCGCATTTTTCATGTGGATATGTTCAAGTGCGCTTCTTACAGTAATAAATAGTATACAAATTATAAATATTAGATAAAAATATATTACAATAATGTTAAGAATTTATAAAAGTATCACAGCGATAACTAGAAGTAAAAATGGAACATGCACAAGCATTAATTAAAAGCTTCTAAGAATAGAAATGTCTTTAGTAACTTTTTAAATGTAGCTGTTGAGGATGCAATCCTGATAGCTTTGGGAAGAGCGTTCCAC